AGTGAAACTCCGTCTCGGAAAAAAAAAAAAATAAAATAAATAAATAAATTCAGTCTCCTGAATATATGTTACAGGAGCAAATGACATGAGAAGGGTTAAGAAATTCTTGCCCTATAGGAGTGACAGCAGTCAAGGCAGTATAGGGGCCTATTAATTTTCTTTCTTGTGGCCTCCAGGATGTAGTTCTTAGCTAAGAGCAGGAGTTCAGTGCTTTCTAGTCACTTGAGTGCAGGTTTTTAGGGCCATAATGTACTGACCCATTTTCTGCCTGTGTGATTGAGTTTCTGCTGCCTCTGCCAGTTCCTCTTTGGCATCAGCTGATCTCTGTAGCACTCTCTTGCTGTCCAAATTGCTGTGTGACCAGGTTAGAAAAGAGTTGCTTTCAGAGGAAGTTGGCCACCTCACAAAACAGGTACCTCATAGCCAAATGGCCTAAGACACCATCATGACAAGGCTTATATAAATAGTATTGTTTGATTATTGATGGGGGAACTATAAGGCAATCTAACGTATCTAATATGACTTCTAACATATCTAATATTTAGTTCAAGAACTGAATTGAAGTCTGCTGGGGGGGTGTATAAGAGTTTTGTACCTGCCTAAGAGTAGCTGTCACTTCATTCCCCCCTTAATACATACATGTACACATATCCACAAATGCATCCACATACTCCTACTCCTTCTGCCCTAGATGAAGGGGAAGGGAGCCTGTCTTAAGGAAAAGCTTGCAAAGGAAACAAATGTAGCTTCACTCTGAGTCAGTAAAGCCTAAAGCAGTAAGTACCTGGATGCCTCACATGGAGTGGTTCTGGTATTCCAAACACCAGTACTGTCCCTGAGGGACCCTTGCCCTTGGTTTATAAACTACTGTACAGAAAATAGCTTTGTGATTGTAGGGCCACTGGGTGTGGCAGAACCATTTGTAGTCAGCTGCACTATTCCTGAAGGAGCACAAGACTGGCAAGTAGAAACTGGGAACCAGCTGAGGCCTAATTGTAAGAAGCCCTTTATCTACATTACTGTCTGTAAGAACTGCACAGTTAGGCAGTTGGGACCTGGAAGGTGATATCTTATCTCTTCATTAGCCATTTATTCTCCCCCAGAATGTTTTGGAAAATCAAGACTAAGAAAAATGCATTTGTTCCAGGCAAATGGATTGGATTGAATCAACTTAGATACTTCCTTAAGTTGATACTCTCACCTCAGGCATCCAGCCAAAGTCAATCTTTGTTTCCTACTCAGAAAGCACAATTTTTTTCTAAGATAGAGGGAGTTTGTGACAAAATATGTATCAGTTACACAGATATCCACCCCCCACACACACACATACGAGTGTCTCCTGTACCTGTCTCCGAGGATGAAGGAACATTAGAAAGGAGAAATTTCTGACCTAGAAGGTACATACAGTCTTATTGGCAAATAACTAAAAAGTAGTGCGCAGCATTTTATAATTGTTTAGCTACATAGACTACTAGTTTTCAGATCAGGAAAGATCACTCTAGGCCAGGGTAGATAGGCTTCCTGGAGGAAAGCCCCCATTCCCTAAGAGTTCATCATATTCCCTCTGTGCCCCAAAAACACTTTGTCCCATTGCGCTGGTGTCCAAGTGTGGTTCTGTCTGGCCTTGTGCTGTATTGTAAAAATAACTAACCTTTTTGGACTATAGGATAAGACCACCATCCTTTGGTTTTCCTTATGGGGAATGGGTATTCCTAGTGTCAATTGGCTTGAGACAAGAAACTAGGAACACAGGGGAAATAACTCCCTATATTTCTGGGCTGTGCTTTCTTGGGTCTGCACTTTAAGGAGGTTTTGAGGATACTTCCAGGTGGTGAGAACAAAGGACTTTTATAAACTCTAGAGGAAGGCTGGGAAGTACACTATAGGGGATCTCGAGTTGAAGACAAGTGAGTCTTATGAACCAGACTGTCCAATTTGAGATACTGTTTGTGTTCATTGCCTTTTTATCATCTCTGAGTTTTTTTTGGTAAAGTTTTGTCTCATTGTAACTATATTGTAGGAATGACAGAGAGGAGTATATGCCTACACCTAGGCCAGAGAAGCCCCACCCAGGAAACCTGTGTGGTGGTGGCAGTGGCCTTAAGAATGAAAAGTCCCAAGGGAGAAACAAGGCTAAAAGGGACAGTAGAGGGCTCTGAGGTTTCCAAATTATCCCTTCATAGTCCGTCTTGAGTCTGTGTTTGATTTCTTTAAGGACCATATCAGGTTTACTTATATTTTAGTATTGTACACTTCATATTACTTGATTGTTCTGTCTGTATCTCCCACCAGGATAGAGTTTCTCAAGTGCTCCTCTTATTTACATTTGTTTGCTTAGCACCTAGCACAGAGCCTATGAGAGTAGGGACTTCCTACTCTCATAAAGTCTTAGGGTGAATTGGGAAAGGGCCGGTTAAATGAGGAAACAGGCCATTCCTTGGTAAAAGTTTGCAGTTTTCTTTCCCAATACATCTTCTTTTTATTGAGAATTTCCATTTTTATCCTGTGTTCCTCCTCTGCCATCTTCCTCCTCTGCCCTATTTCAGAGAAGAGCTTGATAGCAAAGAGGCCAAAATGCCTGCTCCAGAGCTGAGATTCTGGGTCCCAGGCTCAGTTTTGTCCCCCTCTCTGAATGACTTCAGTGCCCTTGGGACCTCCATGCTCCCAGTTTGTAAAATAGATGCTGTCCTTGACTTTGCAGGAGTGATCAGTCCACACTGCTTAGACCAGAGCTGACAGGAGGGATTTAAAGTAGAGGTAACATGTTCCATGTGGGTAAACCAGGACAGAGAAGTAGATGCCTTTTTCCAAATGATCCTGAGCCTGTGGTAGAAGCAAAAAGATCCCTAGTTTCCTATCACCGTGCCTCCTGCAAATTGCCTTTATAGGATTCGTGTCAGCAGCTACTACAATAATGCTCTAAGAGTAAAATGTCTGTCAGATATAGCTGTTCAGTCTCATTTTGTAATTACTTCTAAGAAACAGCCTGAAACAGACTTTTGCAGTGGCAAGGCTAAGAACTTACTTGGAAGTGGGAGGCCCTGTGGCTTTAAAAATATTCAGCTCATAAGCACTATGAAGCAGTACCAATAACCACACATAGGCTTTATCAGTAGCTCTAGGAGTAACCAATACCCAAGCCTTGGCTCTTGGGGGCAGCTGAGAAAGTAATTTGCTTCTGCTTAATATCATTACTGCCGAACATCAGGAAAGTACTACTGATCTTCTGTGGTTACTATTGGGAATGGGTATGAATTATGAATTGCACCTTTAGTTCTCAGTTGTTTTTTGTTGTTATTGTTGACTGCATAGAAGCCACTTAGGTGATTTCATTAGAATGAAAAGCCTATTCAGCTGTGGTCTTAGGCTATGCCACACAACTAGGAATAGAAAATGCCAATTTTCAGAGTGAGGAGAGCATAAATTAGGAAAGTTAAATGCTGGAGGGATGTAGAGAATGACTGTTAGTGTTCCCTGCAGTTAATTTTTATAATGAAAACCATCAGCAGCTTCTGGGAATTATTTATGCCAGGCTATTAGAGGGCACAATATTGGGGAATCCAATCTTTACCTTCCACGGGCTCTACTCTAGTTGTAGAGACATTTAAATCAGCAGGTCATTACATAAGAGCTATGGTAAAGGTATGGGATCACATGGTGAGATTGAGGGCCAGGGATGGGAAACATCACAACAAAATAGATAATCTTCTAAGAGACTTGAAATATAGCAGTCCCTGAGGCATTTAGGAGTCCGGCAGTTCGGTCACTGATCTCCCTGTGCTATGAAAAGAACCTCTTAACTGTTCAGTCTTTCAGTAGAATCAGTCTTTTCCTGCCTGATCCTAACTGGGTTTATGGAGTGAGTTTGTTGGGGGTGAAGAGAAAGAGGTGATGCCATACTGAAAGTGTTTTTGTTGCAGAAACAACTTTAGAATGAACATGAATTAATAGACTTGGCATTTCTCCACTCAGGTGGTTTTATTCAGTGTTAATACTGACTGTGCAGCTGTTCCAGGACACTTCAGGAACTTCTCTCAGGTGTCTGATCTGGCCCAGCTCTGAAGAATTTGTGTTGGTTTCCAGGAAATGCATCCATGGCCACCCTTTTGAGCCTCTTGTCAGCTCACCCCTCACTATGGAGAATGGAATGTATTGTATACGTTTGACACATGCTTTTTTTAATTTTAATTTTTATTTTTGAGACAGAGTCCTTCTACAACCCAGGCTGGAGTGCAGTGGTGTAATCTTGGCTCACTGCAACCTCCACCTCCTGGGTTCTAGTGATTCTCCTGCCTCAGCCTCCCCAGTAGCTGGGATTACAGGCACCCGCCACCATGCTTGGCTAATTTTTGTATTTTTAGTGGAGATGAGGTTTCACCATGTTGACCAGGCTGGTCTCAAACTCCTGACCTCAGGTAATCCACCCACCTTGGCCTCCCAAAGTGCTGGAATTACAGGCATGAGCCACCACACCCAGCCTGACACATGCTTTTAAAAGAAGCCTAGTTGCTTTAGTCATCAGACCAAACTTTCATTTAACATACTTTTGCCAAGCTCCTTCTAGGTACCTGTGCTAGGTTACAGATACAGAGACAAATAGAATCATTCCTTGCCCTTAAAGAGGCAAATGTGTAAGTCACTGCTGCAGTGTGATATAATAGGGATGAGGACAATGAGGAATGGGAACCAGGCAGCAGCAGTGCCTGGGCTGCTTTTTTTTTTTTTTTTTTTTTTTTTGAGACGGAGTTTCACTCTTATTACCCAGGCTGGAGTGCAATGGCGCGATCTCAGCTCACCGCAATCTCCGCCTCCCCGGTTCAGGCAATTCTCCTGCCTCAGCCTCCTGAGTAGCCAGGACTACAGGCACGCGCCACCATACCCAGCTGATTTTTTTGTATTTTTAGTAGAGACGGGGTTTCACCATGTTGACCAGGATGGTCTCGATCTCTTGACCTCGTGATCCACCCGCCTCGGCCTCCCAAAGTGCTGGGATTACNGGGGTTTCACCATGTTGACCAGGATGGTCTCGATCTCTTGACCTCGTGATCCACCCGCCTCGGCCTCCCAAAGTGCTGGGATTACAGGCTTGAGCCACTGCGCCCGGCCTGGACTGCTTTTTGTTTGTTTATTTATTTATTTATTTATTTATTTATTTTTAAGATGGGGTTTCACCATATTGGCCAGGCTGGTCTTGAACTCCTGACCTCTTGTGATCTGCCCACCTCGGCCTCCCAAAGTGCCGGGATTACAAGCGTGAACCACCATGCCCGTTCTGTGGGCTGCTTTTTGTGAAACTGAAAAGGTCACTTCTTGCCTTAGGGAAATCTGACTGGGCCTCTCTTATTGCTTACTGTAGGCAGGGGTACCTCAGTCAAAAGTCTTCTTCTAGGAGGGAAGAGACATAGGTGACATATCTGAGCTGCCACTGCCTCCCAGGCTGGTGCCCTATATTTGGAGCATTGGCTAATAGGCTGAGCCAGCAGGACTGATGAGAGAGCCAAAGCCAGGACAGGCATAAGGACTGTCCCACTTGGAAGCCAGAGATGATGCATGTCTACCTGTGATCCAGGGTAGAAGTAATGAAATCACAGGCTCCTTCCAGCTTGGGGAAGGGGAATAGTGTTATCATGTCAAGGCCAGAGTAAGGGATTGATTTGTACCTGATGGGAGTAAGCACGAGGTGACTTGGCCATGTCTTAGCAACTAGATGCCAAAGCTGGCAAGGAAGAGGGAGAGCTGGTTTGGGTCAGATGGGGCCTTGCTGGCTCCAGAAGTGTTGCTGTGAGCCAAGGATAACTGCTTTTATGCTATTCTGAAGGAAGGGGGTGGGGTGAGGTGCCTCTTGAGCCAGAGCAGTATAGGGCTATTTTGAAAGCAGCTATTTGGGGAGAGCTGGTTGCTGCTTTTTGTTTATTTGCAGGTCATTTGGGTTGACCTGAAGATAGCATTTGTTGAGTGAGCATGCTCTCAACCTATTAATTGAGAGCTGTGAGTAAGCAAGGCCCAAACCAGAACTTGCTCCTGAGGGCTTCACAGCTTTTCTGCTAGACTGTAAGAGGAAGTGGCATAGAGGAGCAGCTAAAGGAGTTGAGAGGGAGAGAGAAAGATGAGGTCATGGCTAAAAAGATAGCTTGCCTTAAAAGACAAAATTTTCTTAGGTAAAAAGGATAATTGGGAGAATATTTCAAATGGAAGGGAACAATTTAAGTAAAGTTCAGGTTTGGTTAAGTCAAGCTTGTCTGTGACAAGTTTGGATGAGGATATGTGCATAGGGGCACGAGGAGCAGGGGGACAGTGCCTAGGCTAGTTGGATAAAGCCAGATCATAGACTTTTAATGCCAGAGAGGAGGTTGGTTGTGATCCTGTCAACAGTAAAAGTTAGTGTAGGCTTAGACACTTGTCTTGTGCTTATATCAACTTGGCAAGGGTTGCACTTTGGGTCTTTGTATTCTGAGGAAGGAGGAAGGGAGGCCACGGGCCTGATGGTCCATTGTTCTCACCTATATTGCAAGCTCCAAGAGGGCAAGGGTATTGGTTTTACCCATCGAGCTATTTCTAGCACTTGAAACCACGTCTAGCACTTAGAAAGCAAAGATGAGTAATTGTGTTTGGAATATGAAGTAAATCCTAGGGCAGCCACCCAAGACCCAGGACAAACTCATCTCACCTGGCTGTCTTAGAGCTCCTGATCTGATCAGTGGGGTCAGCTTAAGAGTGTGGTTCACCAAGGAGCAGAGGAAAAGGTGCCCCGTAGTAGGAAGGGAGGAATGGGTGGTAACTCTATGGCTGGCTGATCCCTACTTCTGAGCCACATTATTTTCTCTTCCTTCCTGCTAACCCTAGAACTGCCTGATAAAGAGGGATGAGAATGGTTACTCTGCAGTGGTAGCTGACTTTGGCCTGGCTGAGAAGATCCCCGATGTCAGGTGTGTAGCCCTAATGGATGCTGGGGTCCAAGGACAGGGGGCTGAAGCGAAGGGAAAATTCTAGCCTCCTCCCCAGAGCTGTAACTTGGCCACAGCTCAACCTCGGCTCCCTAAATTTGGTCAGTCCCAGCCTGTACCCACCCTTGGGGCAGAGGAATTACCAATGGTCAAAAGATTCCATTGCATCAGCCAGTGGCAAGCTGATTTTCTGTATAATCTCCTCCCACAGCATGGGGAGTGAGAAGCTGGCCGTGGTGGGTTCCCCATTCTGGATGGCACCTGAGGTTCTCCGAGGTGAGCCCTATAATGAGAAGGTAAGTTTGGAGAATCCCAAGGTCTGATTCTCCTTTTTTTTGTTTTTGGAGATGGAGACTCCCTGTCGCCCAGGCTGGAGTGCAGTGGCACAACCTCAGCTCACTGCAACCTCCACCTCCCAGGTTCAAGCAATTCTCCCACCTCAGGTTCCCAAGTAGCTGGAATTAACAAGCATGCGCCACCACGTCCAGCTAATTTTTGTATTTTTAGTAAAGAAGGGGTTTCACCATGTTGGCCAGGCTGGTCTCAAACTTCTGACCTCAAGTGATCTGTCCTCCTTGGCCTCCCAAAGTGCTGGGATTACAGGTGTGAGCCACTGCACTCAGCCCTGATTCTCCTTAGAATCTACTCTTAGCAGAGTGTCCAAGATGTTCCTACCAAGAGTAGGGCTGGTACCTGGCAGCTGCCCAGTGACTGACTGGGATGAAATATGGGCAATATGACCCAGGCCTGGGCTGTTAGATGTGGGGGGGGGGAAGGGAGCCCAGATACTCTACCCCTCAACCCATTGAGAGGGAAACCAAAGTCTGACTACCCACTAGGCGGATGTGTTCTCTTATGGTATCATCCTCTGTGAAATCATCGCCCGCATCCAGGCCGATCCGGACTACCTTCCCCGCACAGAGGTGAGCTGCAAGCATGGAGATCGTTGCCACTGGGATGGGGCTAGTTTGAAGCAATGGAACTGTTGTGTCCCTGGGGTGGACTTGCTGGAACTGTCAGTTGCTGGTTGCGAGGGGCAGCTCCCAGGCTCTTCTGAGGAGGCTTGGATGGGTGGGGGGATTAATGACCTGTCTACCTATGCTTTCCATCCCATCCATAGAATTTCGGGCTGGACTATGACGCTTTCCAGCACATGGTGGGAGACTGTCCCCCAGATTTTCTGCAGCTCACCTTCAACTGCTGTAATGTGAGTGTTTTTTTCCCTCTGCTTTTCATCAGGGGCTGGCTGAACCATTTTCATCGGGTTAGGACTGAACAGAGAGGCTGCTAATTAGCTTCATCAGGGACTTCATTTTCACTGTAGTAATAGCAACCACATCTCCTCCTCCCTCTGGCTCTTAGCTAAGCTATTCAGAGCCTGGACCAAGCAAAGAAAAAAATTGCTTTGTATTATCTGGTCCTCAGCCAGTAGGTTAGACCTATCACTCCTTGCCTTGGGTGTTGATGGAACTCTGGACAGGTTTTATTGTTGGATGGACTGTGGATCCAACTGGTCCTGAAGCACATGAGAAAGGCTTTTTTTTAAGACAGTCTCGCACTGTTGCCCAGGCTGGAGTGTAGTGGCGTGATCTCTGCTCACTGCAACCTCTGCCTCCCAGGTTTAAGCTATTCTCCTGCCTTAACCTCCCAAGTAATGGGGATTACAGGTGCACGCACCATGCCCAGCTAATTTTTTTGTATCTTTAGTAGAAACAGGGTTTCACTATGTTGGCCAGGCTGGTCTTGAATTCGTGACTTCGTGATCTGCCCACCTTGGCTTCCCAAAGTGCTGGGATTACAGGTGTGAGCCACTGCACCAGGCAGAGAAAGGCTCTTCTTGGCCTTCATGTATATAGCTCTGGGGCTGGACCTTACCTGTTAAGATCAAGAGGTAGGTGGGCTTTGTTCAGATACCTCCCAGAAACATGTTAGGAACAGAACTCAAGAACAGAATCAACTAAGGAGCATACTTTTGGAAGGTTCTATGACAAGGTGATAAGACAAACACTAGGCCAGGCATGGTGGCTCACGCCTGTAATCCCAGCACTTTGGGAGGCTGAGGTGGGCGGATCACCTGAGGTCAGGAGTTTGAGACCAGCCTAACATGGTGAGACTCTGTTTAAAAAAAAAAAAAAAGACACTTAAGACAGGGAGGGTAGTAGGCAAGTGTTTTCCCTGACCTGAGCTATAGGGATCACCTCCATTGTCTGGGGCCTTAAAAAGGTCTCTTAGCTGCACATTTGAATCTTAAAAGATGCCAGAAATAGACTTTCATCTTTGGGATGGGACATGGAGGGCAGGGCTAATGGTTGTTGTGGATGCCTACAGATGGACCCCAAACTGCGCCCATCCTTTGTGGAGATTGGGAAGACCCTGGAGGAAATTCTAAGCCGCCTACAGGAAGAAGATCAGGAGAGGGATAGGAAGCTGCAGCCCACAGCCAAGGGTAAGAGATTAGACCCAGAAGCCCAACCTAACCCTAAGGGAATTAGGATGTGGGGCCTTCCCCTCTTAGGGGATCCCAGGTCCAGAAACAAAGGAGAGGGGAAGGAGATGACACAGAAAGTACTGGCCTCTTTAAGAGCCGTGGCTTGGCATACTGCTTCCCATCTCTGAGTCTGTTTCTTCATTGGTGAAGAGACAGTGGTACCTACACCTTGCTTTCATGAGTGAAAACATTTTGTGGTAAAATGCTGCTTTTATTTGTTATGACTAGTAAGAGTTACCCAGATTTGACTATTCTTTAGGACTCTTGGAGAAAACACCTGGGGTGAAGCGACTAAGCTCACTGGATGACAAGATCCCCCACAAGTCACCATGCCCGAGACGTACCATCTGGCTGTCTCGAAGCCAGTCAGACATCTTTTCCCGAAAGCCCCCACATACAGTGAGCGTCTCGGACCCATACTACCGTCCACGAGATGGTGCTGCCCGCACCCCCAAAGTCAACCCTTTTAGTGCTCGCCAGGACCTCAAGGGGGGCAAGATCAAGTTTTTTGACCTGCCCAGCAAGTCTGTCATCTCTCTGGTATTTGACTTGGATGCACCAGGGCCCGGAACTATGCCCCTGGCTGACTGGCAGGAGCCCCTGGCCCCACCTATTCGCCGGTGGCGTTCCTTGCCTGGTTCACCTGAGTTCTTGCATCAAGAGGCTTGTCCATTTGTGGACCGGGAAGAATCGCTATCTGATGGGCCCCCACCACGCCTAAGTAGTCTCAAGTACAGAGTAAAAGAGATCCCACCATTCCGGGCATCTGCCCTACCAGCTGCTCAAGCCCATGAGGCTATGGACTGCTCCAGTCTCCAGGAAGAAAACGGTTTTGGGTCCAGGCCCCAGGGGACCAGTCCACGCCCTGCAGGTGCTTCTGAGGAGATGGAGGTAGAAGAAAGGCCAGCAGGCTCAACTACAGCTACCTTCTCCACCTCAGGCATAGGCCTGCAGACCCAGGGAAAGCAGGATGGGTGAGGGGAGTTTAGTCCCTGTCTCACCTTGGGGATGGACCTTCAACTGAAACCATATGGCCCCGCAGGTGCACAGCCTTGACTCTTCCCTGGAGCCCACAGAGTAGGCAGGCTAGGCCAAGCCAGGCTCAACTTCTGGGCTCCCAGTGCCCATTGGCTGTGTATGATGGGGAGGCAGCAGTGAGAGGCCTTCCTAGTTAGGGCCAACAGCTGATACCAAGCCTCTGAAATCCAGCAAGGAGGTCTGCCTCCCACCAGACCTCCCAGTGCACTTCCCTAGACAGGACCAGAGGATGTCTAGTTCTAGGCTGGGCTGGCAGGTAGCTATTACCCAGGTTCTTTCCCCACCCCAGGTCTGTCTCTTGTCCTTTCTTGGGGCATATAAGCTACTGAGTGGAATATGGAGCTTACCAGGAGGCCATAATGGGCATGGCTGTTTCCCAGACCTGAAGATTGGGGTGCTTCTTGCCAGTATGTCTAAGACACTTGAGTAATTGCTGTTTGCACTGACTGCATGGTCAGACCACGTCACTACATTTCTATGTAAGGGGAGGGCAAGGCAGCGTGGTGGTCATGGCTCTTAGCTAACCTATTCAAAGACCTTTTCCAGTTGATTAATCTATTTTCGTATTTATAAAGAAGTCTTAATGTTCTGCCCCGTAAGACTTTCAACCTTGTGGTTGGGAGTGGGGCTGGTTTTGTAGGCCCTAGGGCCTGCTTCTATGTATTTGTCAGCATGTGATACATTCAATTGGTTAAATGGTTTATACATGGACTGATTTTCTTCCCTTCCTGCTATGGCTGGAGATTTGGGAACAGTCTTTCCTTACAGAGCTGCAATAAGAAATAACCAAAGATGAAGCTGGTCAAATATTTTCATAACTTGCTTCTGTTGATTTTTTTTTTTTTTTTTTTTTTTTTTTTATTTTTTTTTTTTTTTTTTTTTTGATTTTTTTTTTTTTTTGCAAAACTTTCCCAAGACATTTTCAGACTTAAAAATAAAGTTGGTGTTACAGATGCTGGTCAGCCTTCTTACTTGTACCTCAGACACTGAGATAAAGGAGGAGGTCCAAGGCAATGCATTGATATCTTCCAGGACACTCCCCGTCCCCTAAACTCAATAGTAGTTGAGTACGACATTTACAGGCTAGAGAGAACCAAAATATGTTACACCTGAGTGCTAGGTGGAAGTTGCATCAGCTGCTGCCCCAAGCGAGCTTCATCTTCTGATTGTGGGCTTTGGAGGAACGAGAGAACTGGCTCTTGGCCACTGTGAGGGGTACAGCTTTGCCACTCAAATATACCTTATTGTGGCATTCAGGGAGCCAGGGTCCAGAGCTACAGGGCTGGGGTCCCTGGCTGACTTCCACATAGGCCATCACATAACCTGTCATAAAGGCATCAAAACCAGCTCGGTGCAATCCATCCCCAGGCACTGGGTTAGGAATGGCTTGGCTCCCTGGCACTTCTGAGGTAGCTGTATCAGCTATTTCAGGCCTTCCTGCCTTAATCCCTATCCCTAAGTCATTTTTGTTGCCTTGCTTGGAGTGAGACAGGTTCCTGGTTTCATCCTCAGCCGCTTCCTGCTCAGTTTCTTCAGCCTTGAGGCTATCCCCACGGACCTGCTTCTTGGGAGGACCATCCTTAGCTTCTTCCCCAGAGGTCTGTGTCCCCTGTGGGTTCAACAAAGCCCTCTTCCGTTTTTCCCGCCGTCGCCGCCGTCGCCGCTTGTCCTCTGCCGCAGCCTCATCAGTGTCAATGATAAGGTCAATGTCATGGGACTGAGGACACTGCGGTCCCAGGGAGCACCAGCCATAAGCCTAGGGGTGGGAAAGAGGCTTGGAAAGGGGCTCCAGGCATCAGAACCTCCCTTCCCAAGAAATAGGTGGGTGCTCTTACCGAGAAGTTGTCACAGATGCTGGTGGGATGAGGACGGTGGGTTGCCGGGGGCAGGCAGCAACGGTAATCAATATGGGCCCTCATGCTGGAAGGATAGTTGCAGAACTCCAGGGTAAGGTGTGGGCTGCCAGCTGCCCGCTGCTTCCCATTTTCCCGTTCACTGCAACAGCGCAAGAGGGTAATGGTCCACTAGCATAAAAGCTCCATAAGAGCAGGTTTTTTGGGTCTGTTTTGTTCACTGCTGAATCCTCAGCACCTAAAACACTGCCTGGGCACATGGTAGGAGCTCAATAAATATCTTAAGTGAATGAAATAAACTCATATCAGGTCCCACCCCTTTCCCTCAACCATTTCCTCACCATTTCCGGAAGGCATATTCTAAGTAGGAGGCTACGAAGCGTGCATGAAACTCAGCAGCATACTTGGTGTCATAAATGCCTGCCGGGAACATCTCACACAGGTCAGCGGTGAAGGTTCCCAGACTCTCAGGGAGGTGTGCATAGAAGTTCTGGTACAGGAACACCAAGTCTATAAGGCCATTGTGTAGCACCAGGGGCCGGCGGGCTCGGATTAGCTCCAGGAACAGGGTCCGTACTGACTGGCTCTGGCTCTCATCACCCTAGGTGAAAATAAAGGAGTCAATGAGAAGGACAGAGTCCCCCAGGGAGCCTCTTCTGCTGGGCACTTACCAGGCTCCCCCACCTGGAATGCTCTCTTTCTCTCTACCTAACACAACTCTACCCACCTTCCTCATACCAGTTTTGTTTCCCAAGCCCTTCCATTAGTGATTCCCCCTACTCCCTAAGAAGCAGATTCTCCCCAGGCATCCAGCCTAGGGTAGGAAGAAATAGTCACAGAAGGGACAGGCTAGGGAGGCTGGAGGCTTACCTTGTCATTGCCCTTATGGTAGGGGATGCCCTGGGCATACTGCTGGTTGAAGTTGAAGCCATGCTGTATCAGGAACTGCACAGACTTTGGTTCTATGACATACTCCTCCATACACAGCAGAGTGAGATTGAACACTTGAGCCAGATAGGAATGTTCACCCTGGGAGAAAAAGGAAGTCTGCTATATCAAGATTTGGGGGAGCTAAGCGACAAGGATGCAAAGGCTTTAAGAATGATACAATGGACTCTGTGGACTCCGGGGGAAGGGGTAGGAGGTGGGTGAGGGATAAAAGACTACACATTGGGTACAGTGTATACTATTCGGGTGATGGGTGCACCAAAACCTTAGAAATCACCACTAAAGAACTTGTTCATGTAATCAAACACCACCTGTTCCCCATAAATCTACTGAAATTTAAAACAAACAAAAAAACCTATTAAGTTAAAAGAGATTTGGGACAAAAAAACTTTGTATTTGATGTTCCCCAGAATCTCTCTACCCTCCTCCCCACAGCCAGACCTAGGATAGGGGTGAGATCAGCCCATACCTTGTCTGGCTGCCGCTTGAAACAGGCGAGGCCCAGGGAGAGGATAGAACGGGTCCTGGCAGCGTGACACACAGCCTTGTAACGTTCCTCGATGCACCTTGGGGTTCGGTTTGGGGGTTACTGTGGCTGGGAGTTAGCCCATGAAGGACCCAAACCACCCAGGTCTGTGACCCCCCTCCCACCACCACTCCACAGTTGAGGGTGGGCACTAAAGAAAACAGGGTTTATACTTACTGGTTCAACAAACTCTTCCTGTCCCCAAGCCCACTCAGCTCCTGTGGGCAGGTAAAGGGAGGGCTGTGACAAGCCCCCAGCACCAGCCCCTTCACAACCACCTGCCCTCCTTGTTTCCCAGTTCTCACCGTGTCCACAGCCACGAAATTGGCTGTCTTTATGGCTAGCAGGAGGGATGGCCACATCTCCTTAAAGTTGTTGCTTTGAACATCTACTACAGGAACCCGGACTATTAGCTCCTCCACAGATGTTATGCTCTTGCTGACACCACCTGGGGTAAGGAGGGTGACGGATGTTCATGCTTAAGAGCCTAGGGGAACAGACACCCCCAAGCTAGGCCCCAAACCACTACTGATGGTAATAGTTTCCATTGGTAGCTTTTCCCACAAGCGTTCTACACACAGGACTCGGAGAGTGCCCTGAATTTGGGAAGAGGAAGCCTGAGTCTTCCAACGGCTTATACGAGCCTGGGAAAATTACTTCCCACCTCGCTGTCACAATCCATAGAGGAGAAAGTTGGACTAGATGACCTTTGAGATTCTTTTTTCCCATGTCCTGCAGGAAACATTTAGCGGGGCTTGAGGATCTCAGCTTCCTTAGTATCTCACAGGGATCCATACCACTGTTCTCATGGTGCCCCAGCACCACAAACAACAGTTCCCAGAGCCTGATAGCGCCCAACTCCAGAGCTCCCAATACGTCCCACCTTCCTTTGCACCACAACGCCCAATCCACTCCACTGAACTGAATCACAACTATTACTAACCCTTATGAGCTCCAGACTACATCTCCCGCCATGCCTCCATCAGCCCCATACTCCCAATGCTCCAGGCTTTTGCAGCCCGAGCCGCGGTGCACATCGGGACTTGTAGTCTCCTCGTGGCTAGTTAAGGCGGAAAGCGTAAGCCTCTGAAGCCTGAGGAGTCTCTAGAATTATGAACCCGAGGCCTTCCCCTCTCCCGAGAGCAGAGGCTTTGAAGACTACCCCTGGGAAGCCGCTCACCGTCGGAGGCTGCGGGAGCTGAAGCTGCGCCATCGTCACTGTCGGCGGCCATGACACCGCTCGTCTCCCGCCTGAGTCGTCTGTGGGTACGCAAGACTTCCGCTCCCTCTCCCTGCGCGGCTCAGACAGTCGGAGATGGGGCGGGGTCTCGCCGTCAGGTCGCCGAGGGGTCGGACTTCCGTTCAGACCTCCCGGGTCCGGCACTGGGAAGGGAGCCAGGCGCTTGCTAGTTGCCTATTGGCCGGTGCAGCCGCCTCGCCGCCGGGGCGGACTCGAACCACGCCCCCTGGAGTGCGCAGGAAAGCCAGGCGCGCTAGAGCGAGCGGGAGGTAATGTTTCCCGCACTCGTGGCGGAAACGCGGGCCCTCGGTGTCCTGCTCTCTTCATCAGCGTGGGCCGGGGGTGGGGTGCGTTGGGGTGGCCGGGTTTGGATTTACAGAAAAGGTGACGCTGCCTGAGCTGAGCTTAAAACACGCGAAGGAGTTAGGCTAGGAGAGGGTCGTGTGGGGGAAAGAGGGTGTTCTGGGCATCGGTAAATTCCCAGAGAGGATGGAGAGCTTCAGTGCTCGCCAGGAAGTGAAAGAGGCGAAGAGTATGCCATCAGAGGAATCTGAGGAGGGGGTAGGGCAACCGACTAGTAAGGAAGCTTTTATCCCAGCACTTTGGGAGGCCGAGGCAGGCGGATCACCTGAGGTCAGGAGTTTGAGACCAGCCTAATCAACATGGAGAAAACCCGCCTCTACTAAAAATACAAAATTAGCTGGGCATGGTGACGCATGCCTGTAATCCCATATACTTGGGAGGCTGAGGCAAGAGAATGGCTCCACCCGGGAGGTGGAGTTTGCGGTGGGCTGAAATCGCGCCTTTGCACTCCGGCCCGAGCAACAAGAGCGAAACTCTATCTCAAAAAAAAAAAAAAAGGAAAGAAGTAATCTAAGTGGTAATGTGAACTTGAATTAAGACTGACAGTATGGATGGCGAGGAAGGGACAAATTGTGAAGCAGCTAGGTGGTATACTCGACCACCTAGCTGAACTTGAAAGAGGTGAATGAACTTGAAAGAGGTTCCTATTGGAGACTAATCCCTCCCCAAACACTCCGATTCCCCTCCACCTCTGCCTACCAACTCTCCTTGGTTACTCATTGTTTATAGTTCATCTTCAGCTTCTGTCAACTGAGTCTATTTCATTATTAATTCCTAACTGCTTGGGCCAGGCACAGTGGCCCACGCCTAGAATCACTTTAGGAGGCCGAGCTGGGAGGATCGCTTGAGCCCAGGAGCTCAAGACTAGCCTCAGAGAATAAATGCGTGAGATGAAAAAAAAAAGA